CAGAATCGCAATAAGTGATAAAATCTAGCAATGTCAAAGTATAGCGGAAAAGGACATTGATATGACACTTCCAAAAAAAAAAAAACGAGTTTAATTTCTGAAGTTCTTTTATATTAGTTACTTATTTGGTTATTATTATTTACCATACCATTTGCAGGTAATAGGCAATGGTTCTTTCGGAGTGGTTTATCTTGCCAAACTTGCTGATACTAATGAGCTTGTTGCGATCAAAAAAGTTTTGCAAGATAAAAGGTTTAAGGTAAATTTTATTGAGTGAAATTCAGTAATTATTCATTATAAATGCATAATTTTTCTGTTATTACGTGACATGTTTCTGATGAATACCCATACATTTCATTGCAATGGAAAACTTTAGTCATAGTGGGAGCTGAATACTATGAAAGGAGTTTACGGGAAAGCTTCTGCAAATAAGCATGCTTTATTCATATGATTATTGCTGTAAAGGCTTGTATTCTCGAAGGATATACAGTGTTCACGAATAACTCGATTAATGGATTTTTCTTTGTTCTCGATCTTAAATTGTCAAAGTTTTGTTTTTACTGTTGTCTTATATGGACGTTTGTTTAGTCGTTCTTGTATTAGATGAGTAATATAGAAATGTTGAAGGTGAAGTTTTTCAGAACCGCGAACTGCAAATAATGCGCAAATTGGAGCATCAAAATATTGTAAAATTGAAATATTTCTTTTATTCTAGTGGGGAAAAGGTATTTCATTTCATACGACTTTTATCAATGCTTTTGTATAGTATGTTTTCATCACATTGTATATCACACTGTTTCTGTTTTTGTACACTTTTTTAACGTTTATATGGGTGGAATATTACTTCTGTGATAAACCACTTAATTTACATAGAGGTTGGTAATTCTTCTGTTCTCTTTTGATTTATTTTTTTTTTCTTTTAATCTAGTAAAAAATGATTAGTTCATTTGCTTCAGAAAGATGACTTGTTCTTAAATCTTATACTCGAGTATATACCAGAAACTGTTTATCGTGTTGCACGGCATTATTCGAAACAGCGACAAATAATACCTGCACTTTACATAAAGGTGAAATTTAAATAAAATTTGTAATTACGGACCTTTTTTCCAATTAAATTGCATCGACATATCAAGTTTAATCGGTGTTTCAAAGCATTCATGTTACAGCTATATATGTACCAGTTATTTCGAGCATTGGGATATATCCACAGTTTGGGCGTTTGCCATCGAGATATCAAGCCGCAGAATTTATTGCTTGATCCAGATTCAGCAGTGCTGAAGCTTTGTGATTTTGGTTCTGCAAAACATCTTGTTAGAGGGGAACCGAATGTGTCCTACATTTGCTCTCGGTACTTTTACCAATGTTGTTATGCTGGCATATGTTTTTTTTTTTTTTTTGTGTGAAAATTCATATTTTCTTCTGTTTTATTTGATTATTTTTTCTGCATATACTGTTGTATTTTTAGCTACTATCGTGCCCCCGAATTGATATTTGGCGCGACGGACTACACAACGAGCATTGGTAAATATTTAAATATTTCATTTTTTCATATTGCTGTAAAATAGTATTTGAACATGGAATCAATTTTCCATCGTTAAAGTTTTTGATTTCAGATGTTTGGTCAGCAGGAACGGTGCTTGCAGAGCTTTTGCTGGGACAGCCAATTTTCCCTGGCGACTCAGGTGTAGATCAGCTCGTGGAAATCATTAAAGTGTTGGGTACACCCACACGTGATCAAATACAGCAGATGAATCCAAATTATACTGATTTCAGATTCCCGCAAATCAGAGCTAATCCTTGGCAACGTGTATGTCTATTAACTCATTACTTTCTGTTTTTATATTTTTCGAAACTAAAGTTGTGTAATGTATACTATCATTCATCTTTATCTTAATGTTACTGGATTACATCATGACATGAAGCTAATATAACATCTCTTAACCAACACAGATCATATCTTTACAATGAAATCATCACTCGTATTATTCATCAGTCATGTTCCAGGAGTATAGAAACTCATAATTTCAGGTGTTTCGTCCACGAACTCCCTCGGAAGCGGTCGATCTCGTCTCACGTCTTTTGGAATATACGCCTAACGCTCGGCTGTCACCACTTCAAGCATGTGCTCATACATTTTTTGATGAGTTACGCCATCCTAATTGCAAACTGCCAAATGGTAGACCAGTGCCACCAATTTTCGATTTCTCTGAACAGGAATTGCGCATCGAACCTAATCTTAATGCTGCTCTTTTACCTCAGAACTCAGCAAGAGGTCTGGTATTTTTCATTATTACTAAATTTGTTTAGAATATGTTTAGTTTGAATTTCTTCTTAATGAATATTAGAACAAAATCTTCATTAATTTAGTTGTTCGTGCTTATGATGTTTTTTTTTTTTCTTTTTCTTTTTCTGCTTTACTTATTTATTGATTTTTAGGACCATCAACGGCAGCAGTAGGTAGTTCATCATCGTCACCAGTGGAAGCTTCATCAGCGGCAGGGGCTCCAAGCGGTTCCATTTCAGCTGTTAATAATGAGCCAACTTCCACGGATGCGTGAACCTCATACAGTGAAGTCTTCTGTCGGTAATGATAATTGCTGACTTCTTAAAATCTCTTTCTATCTTTGTTACTTCTTGTGTGTGTGTGTGTGTTTTTTTTGTACATATTTACAGGTAACAATTAAATTTGACTGAATATTGAATCTAATTTTTTTTTTCAAGAATTTTGCTTTTCATTTTTTCAATTTCAAATTTCATGATAAAACAATATTATTTTATTATCCTGTGGAATAAGTCATTTGTGATCCAAAAAGGTGATCCTTACGTGATTCCGGATGGTTTCGGATTTCAGATGTGATTTTCTTTTATTACATTTTCGCTTATTTAAGTTGCTTTTTTTTCACTTTTATTGTGTATACGCAATTGTAAGAAATTCTCTTCAAGGGAGTGGATCTGCATTCACGAAAAGCTTAATAACTTTTTTGTTTGATAAATTTTTTGTTCGACATTGTATAACTGTGCAGCTCTGTATGATTTAGATGTTCTGATGAACTCAAAAAATTCCATCTTTCTAATTTGCACTGCATCAGCTTTATCCATATGTTGTCGGCAAATATTTCACTGTTTATTCTTACCCATCAATTTCTTCATAGAGTAATATTTTAGAATTATGTTATTTCTTTTTGAAAACATGTGGAAGTAAATTTGATAGCTGTATTTCCTTTAAAGTTTTTCCACATTGCATAATATCTTCATTGTTATCAAATTCTTATGTTCTAGAACTTATCATTTGCTCTGAAAGAATTATAAAATTTTTGCTTGTAGTGCATTTTTTGTACTTTAATAGATTAATATTATTAGCACATGCACCTACTTATACATATTCTGTTTAGTTCTGGTTTTTGAGCAGTTTCTTTTTAGTTCATTTGCGGTTCATATCTTGAAGTAAAGTAAAGAAACTCTTTAGAGTGTGGGAAGATGCAAGTTTCTTTTTTTTCCTTACACTAGCATGTAATATGTGATCAGTAATTTCTTTAAGTGAAATTGTGGCAGAAGTATAACTTTTGCAGTTGGTGATTATTACTGCCTGTTTTCTACATGTACTACTGCTAATTAAGTTTTACTTTAAAATCCACCCATTTGAACAATAATAATTTCTCCACTCGTAATTACGTTGTGTTTATACATATACAAATATTTTGCTGTGCTTGTCGCATTTCATATATAAAATGTGACCGATACTTTTTGTATTCTCTCTCAACAGCAATACTAAATCATTTTCTAACAATTCTGATCAGTTTAATCGTTTTTAGTTTCAGTCGTTCAAATATTTTTTTATTCGAATTGTGTGGAACATGTAAGAGCTCATTTGTGGGCTGTTTTTTTTTTTCTTTTTTGTGTGACATATAAAGAACACCACAGCTGTAAATGTTTCTTATTCTATAGAGATTCCGTACCTTACCCCGTTTTTATAAATCGCATTTTCTGTCTATTATGGTTCTATACAACCAGAATATTTATTAGATGATACTACCGGTTTATTTAGCAGAAAAATTACTACTAGTTGCTTATTATTCATTTCGAACGTACTTTCTGGTTTATCAAATTGAGTTTAAATCAGTTGTCAGAATATCAGCGCGAGTGTCCTTCCAGTCCAGTGCAATTTATGACAGATCTCCATTGTTGTAACGATGAGAACCGCATCTCCTAATGTTAATAAGCATCTTTATTAGCTTTTATTATATGTAGCAGTGAAATTAGTGGAAATTTAAAGTCCTTTTTTTTTCGTGACCTATATTACTGTTCTGTAAGTATCATGAAGTTATCGCTATGTCATTTATCGATAATGACATTTAGTCTAGTTAATTTGATAGAAAAACTTTGGCAGAGACAGAGACAATGTAATGCGAAATGTTATCAATAATGTTAACTTCTTTGAGTCTTAAGTATCGTTTGTTATTTACTTAATGCTGAGATTCGTGCTATTCTCTTTTCTGTAAGTGTAAGCAATACTATATAAGCATGTAAAGTATTTCAATGGTAAAGATGACTTATGTAAGACACTGACTGGGTAAAAAGAATTTAGTTGGATTTTGCTCCGATTACTTAACTAATTACAATCGAGTCAAATTCATTGGTGTAATGCGTTTTGAGTAGCCATGCAGAATAATGAAAGTCTGAAATCCTTTTTTTATTTGGGGGGGATTGTGCTATGTACTTCCAACTTTATCTATAAATTTAGTTTCAAATTTGAGTTGAAGGTGTAGTTTCAAATGAAATTACTCATTATTGAAGAATTTTTTACCCAAACAGTCATCTGCGTTTACCACAATCTTTGTTTAAAATCAACATATTTATCTAAAATGTTTCCCCAGAAAATTCCTTTAAATTGTATTTTTTTTGCATATTTAGTTTTGCATATAAATATTCATTGATAAGAATAGGGACAGTTATTGAAGATAAAGATTTTTGAAAGTGCGCAATAAATTTAGCATAACTCCTCAGCAGATAGGATCGTTTCCATCCAGATCTCGACTCAATCGTAATGGAACGAAACCAATATCACCTTGATTTGGACCATTGTTTTCAGCCGAAACATATATCTGTATAAAATATTCTTTCTTTAAATTTGAAAACTTCAACTGAGATTTCAATATTTAATTCGGTGATTTAGCATTAAGTTTTTCTGAATGAAACGAATGCTGTAAAATTACTGAATCAACCTTATACGTTCCAGTCGGCAGTTCGGTGCATTGAAAATTCCATCGTCTGCTTTCCTAAGGAGATTCTAATAAGTGATTTGTATCAAAGCAGAGATTGTAGAATTCGTAAATTCTTTTCAGTTTCCTAATTATAAAGGCATAAATATGTATACTTCAAAAACACATCAAATCAAGATTTCATTTGAAAAATGAGTTGTTTTTGCTTAGAGGGAGTTCCAAAATAGTAAAAGTCTATTCAATTTACTTATTCAAGCAAAAAAACTCATTTTAAATATCGATTCAATAGTAGTAATGTCAGTTAAACTTGATACTGTAAACACCTAAGAATTGATCAGGAAAAGAGTCTTCTATATAATTTCTATAATTTTAATGCTTGAAATGGGGACAGTTGGAAGCCATGAGTAAATTCCAGTTTTATGACTTACAAATTTTATTCATCACAGATTTTGTAAAGAGCGATTGAACAGCTTAATTTATGTGATATAAATTGCATTTTTACTTATCTACTGAGTGTTTTTTATTTCGATGCAGAAATTATTTCGCATTATTTTAACATTATAATTTTTTTTTTTTTCGCAATTATAATTTTTTCTCTAATTAACATGCATCTTGTCTGCTACATAGTTACGTTCTAACTGCAGCGCATTTTGCACTAAATTTTTACTTTAAACAGTTTAATGATGAAGCAGATTTCGTTCATTACCTGTAAATGGCCATCCTTAGGGATACCAGTTTTTGAGTAAAAACATTTTTTGTTAAATTCATCTGTACACATTGTGAAGCGTGCTCCTTCAACAGCAAAATATTCATAGAAGCAGAAGTGCACTGGTTGTGCCCAGGTTGAAATACTTAGCATCGGGCTGATAATCTGTCGGATAGAATTTTCGGAATTACTGTTATAAGATGCTACAAGGAATGAATTCGTTCCAACAGGTGGTACCATAATACCGCTCAACGGATTTGAAAAGCCGTCAGTTCCTGTCGATGCCATCCATCCAGAAATGCCTTTTTGCCATCCACAGTATTTCTCTGTAGATTCATAATGCTTAAATTCTAACAAACTGGCTATAGAATACTTGGTAGACAATTTTACGGAAAGATACTACAAGAAATTGTGCGTGTTTCTGCTAAATAGTTGAGATGTATAACATTTCATTTCATTTTTATTTTTTCTTATTAAAGATGATGTGCGAGTTATTTGTGAGCAACAGCTAGTCTAAATGATGATGCAAATATTTCGACTCGATACGACGTAAATGCAGTAGATTCTGCTTAGGGCAAAGTCTCAATGTCTTTTTCTTTTTCAATACAAACTTTCTTAGTCTTCATCAGTAGTGGTCAAAATTTGTTTCTTTTTTTGATGGGTAAAAATATAAAAACAATTGTCACAACAACACCTTACCAGCAGGATTGCAGGACAGTTTCAAGCATTCAACCATTAGAGAATCTGCTAATAAAGGTGATGCGAACTGTAGTATGGATGACTGCTGTAGATTGGATATTTTTTGTGTGGAACCTAATTCTTGAACTTCAACAAGACTGTTGCTAGAATCTTGGAAGTTATGCAAAGGAATCAATCGTTTAGCTTGTTGTTGCTGTGGTTTATTGAAATTTTTGGTTGTAAGTGGTGTTGTTATGATGCAGTCTGGTACAAGATTACCACCCACAGTGATATCCTGTACAAATATAGCACCGCCATATTTTCCAACAAAATTATCACCCACTAAAATAATCTGAAATATAGCAATTTTAAAGAAAGTTCAACATATTTCTATCACTACAATTTGAAAATTTTCGGTTTTTCATATTGAGAGATTAAATTGTTAGCATGCAGATATAATTTCAAATAATGGACGTTACTCTGTTTTCAAGAAATTTTGCGATATTTTGAAGGGAGATATCAAGGCAAGATTATTGCTCTTCAAATGACAAAGTGAAATTCTGATGTGATTAAAATTTAGTACTATAATTTTACTAACTATGAGTTCAATTTTAGATAGAAAATCTTTTCTTTCTTTGCTTATCAGTATGCTTCTTGCTTATTTGGAAATAAATCAGTCTATTTTTGAGCACTAATATGTTACCATAAATACATTCTTCTGAATTACATGCATGCTTAGTTCAGGGGCTTTTTGACCAGTTATAAAATTTAAACAATACCTGGGCAGGTGTAGTGGGATCACGTGGTTCGGGTATGTTCACAGTAACCGGCATGCCATTTTGTATAGGAAACAAGATGCAATTTGAATGGGTTTGATCGATATTGGTATTACGACTACAAATCTGTAAATTTGGTTGTTGTTGAAATGATCCATCTGAAGAGGATCGCCAAACTGTAGCGGTGAGTTGCAGTGGTAATATAATACATGGCAACAAATCGGAAACAAGTTGTCCACTACCCCATGTACGGTGATTACCGGATAGAAGTACTGCTGCTGATGCATCTAAAAATGACTGAAATGATTCGGTGAAGAAAAAAAAAGACTGATTTAGTCATTGAAGAATAGCTAGACGATCAGCTATTATATTATTTATAGTAAAGAATATGCATTACTTTTATCTGTAGGTTTTATATGTATGTATTTGAGGTTAAAAAATACTTGGAACTTTTCAACAATCAAATAACGATTTTTTATAATTTACCAAACGTTCTGAATTGTCGAAAATTCAACTGACTGATAAGTTAAATGAAAATTATGAAAAAGGATTGCAATTGGTATTTGTGGCTTTCACGAGACTAATGAACATTCAGAGTTATAAAATCATCGAAATTATATTGACCAGGTGAATATTGTTACCTGGATCGAGGTTATATACCGTATGGATTATTGTCTGACCTGGATGATGAGTTGTTTGAAGCATACTGATCCATGGTTCTGCTTCTGGAGTGGACAGCAACACTTTCCAGTCCAGTTCATCTTCATTCGTATTGGACCATCGACAATTATTATCAAATCCATGACAATTCAAGTCAGAAGCCTCTTGTACAACATCCAAATTTTCTTGTACATTTACTGGTGCAGTGAGCAGTGATAGGTACTCATCCTTTACAGCATTAAAATCAGTTGCGTCCATATACGATCGTGCACGACCAGCTTAAATTTTCACTTTTAATTTTTTGAATCTTTATACTTCCTACGAAAAAAAATAAATAATGTGTTAATCGGAAATTTTGTTAGATAACAGAAACTAAAGTGAAAAAGATTATGAGCAACATTGAAAAAGTACAAAATGGTTAAAACTGATGTTCTAATTGGTTTTAAAAATTTGTACATCAGGAAGCATTAAATGATGCCAACCGTATTAAAAGTTTTTGCAGTAATTAGGGATTTAGAAATTATTACAATAAAAATACCTGACAGAGCCAGCGGATGGTGTGGATAAGTTTCATAATAGACTGGTGGAAAGCATCCATTACCTGTATATTAGATTAATTATCTTACTTCTATGTTGACAAAAAGTTTGACATTTCAAGTAAAAATAAAAAATTTTCTAAAAAATCCTTAGATAAAAAATATTTCATAATTTTTTTTTCCATAAAAGTGTTTGTTGCAGCTGCAGAATTTTCCCTTTTTTTGCGTTCAATATAAAATATCAATGGCAAAATAATGTACAGTTTGACTAATATTAAGTTATGACCTTTTGTCTATTTTTAAAGTAGTGATTAAACAAATGCAACTCCAGCATATCTCACCAGTTTTATCTTTAAATTTTCAAAGAGTCATTTTGTTTAGGAATTAAAAATTCGTTTGTAATTAAGGTAGAGTTAAAAGTTTGTAAGTTAAAGTAAGCTCCTATAAATATTGAGCTAAAAGGCAAATCATTAAGAATAACTTATTAAACAAGCATAACTAGAAAACATATTACAACAACAATACATCTAATTTTACTTCTTATAATTTGCTGATAAAGATATGTTAGCAATTTATGGATTATAAGCTTGCAAAACAAGAATAGAGTAAAAGTAGCAAGAGAATCAAACAACTCAATACATGAAATTATATTTTATCATCCAATGGTCTGAGAAGAATAATAAGTTGGCAATGAAATATAAATATTTCTATATCGGTGGGAAAATAAAACTTCTGAGCAAATACTTCTGAGCTTTTAGGACACATTTAATTTCTAGATACTTCCAAGGATTATTGCTATAATCTTTATTGCCACTGATTTTTTCAGTGTTTAGGAATTCAAAAAATTTTCGGACTTACTCTACTTTCAAATCAATTTCACCATCTAAAAATTTTAGTGATTTGTTAATTAACATTTCATATTAACACGTGAAATTAAGGAAGTAATAAGAAATGTTATAAGAGAAAATTAAAATGAGAAAAATATTTCCACCTTCATATTTATATTATTAATATCTGTTGATCGTAAAACGGTGATGATCATGATAATGATTATGATGATTTTTGTAGTTGCTATCGCCATTCTCATTATCATAATAAGTAAATTTACTATTATTACCAATCATTACCTCCTCCTTAATCAATAAATTTCAAATTCATCCATGATTATTTCAATTTTAGATGTGTCAAGAAAAAACGAAAGAAATTCTAACTCACATATGAGTAAAGAAGAATGGAAGTTGTAGAGAAAAAAGCAAATGGTCAGTGGTTGGTGAAACACCACCATTTCATGCGAACAGTATCGTTTAGTTCAGTTCAGGAATTGAATCACCACTGCCAGCTCTGTCCCGTCCAGTACTCTTATCGGATATCCATTAATTTCACTCCCTTTCCCTCCCCCTTTTCCTCTTACCCGTTATCCGCCCACCTATGGAATGCTTAATCATCATATATTGCATTTAATCGGGAGCATTTAAATATTTGTTCGTCCAGTTTAGCTGAATTTAATGCTCGCATACAATATTCCCTTTTCCTCCTTAACTTCATCATCTGTCATCGTTCTGTCCAATCCCTTTTCCTTGTCACCTCAATTCATCCTTTCTCCTCTTTCGAATTCATTGACCATTACCTTTAAAATTCCATTAAATTTTTTAAACACGAAAATTGAATATTTTCGGCAACTTGAAAAGCATTTTTCTGATGCATTAGATTTTCCCATTAATGATTGAAACAAAACCCTTATGTATTTAGTTGTCATTTCAGGATTTCCGGGCATGTAAAATTCAGAATTGTAGGATAAGTAGCATTCAAAATTTATGAAACCAGAATAATTCACCGCTTGAGTTTTACTTGAAATATTCATGTCGCCATAAAGGAGATGAAGGCAAAAGGGTTCATCACAGAAGAGGTCAATGAGGTTCTCTTTTTCGCATATTCAACACTGTCACGAAGGATCTCTGACTCTATTTCACTAATCATTGGTCAACGGAAGAACTGGTTAAACCGATTAACGTATTGGAGTCTAATTCAGAGAAACAAAAGAAAAACACCCTTACATTTAAAATGTTCACCTTAATTTGCAAATTATATATATATATATATATATATATTGGAACAGTTTGGTATGCTTTTGGAAGACAAATAGGAAAAAAAGACGGGAAGTTCAAAAATATGCATGCATAGATGGCGCAAGTTGAAGCAAGCAGTGATTATTATTATTATGTGCAACAAAATTTAAGTGAAGTGAGAATTTTCTGAATTCCTCTAAACTTTAGACTTCATACCGAGTATTACAAAGAAACAGAAATGAACAACGAAACCCATGCCAATGATTTTACTGAAGATCAATTGTAGCAGAAAATTAAGGTACACTTTTCAGTAATTTTAATTTGTCAATAATATGGTTTTTGAATTAGTGGGAAAAGCATTTCAAGAAGGAATTTAACAACGGCTAGTAGAACATAGGTAAAAGATGAAAAGGATAAGTATGATGTAATTACTGTTTAAGCTAAGGCATCAAGAAATGGGCCATAAATATTTTCATGTGATTTTAATAAACATGCCTTTTTTTTTTCAAACAATTTCAAACCATAACAAGATATTAAAAATGCCTGATCGATTCTTGGATCTTACATAACAACGGTAAAAGAAATATTCCGGATGGGAATACCGTTCCTTACCGGACATCTTACTGTAGATCGTATCTTTTCTTTTTCTTTTTTTCATATATTGTATATTGATATATGTAAAAGGTGAATGAAGTGTAAACTGCAATCTTTTCAAATATATTTATCAAACTGAGATCAACTATAGAAATTACAAAGAAAAAGAAACGCTGAAATCATTTTACATGAATTTAGATTTGATACAGTTATAAAAGCACTAAATCTAACATGGCAAAGTAACTCTAAGGAAGCATTGCAACCGTAAACAAATATATTTATGTATCATATGAAAGGTTGTAGGATGCATAAACTTTGGCAGTGTATTTTGATAGAAAATATTTGGCAATTTAATTGAAATTGGCAATCACATTAATATTTTCAAATTCTAACCTTCCATATAAGTATATGAATCAAATTTCTGACTAACCTAACATTATCGCATCATTTCAAGCTTCTGGTTTATTACAATATTTCTAGAATTTGAACGGATGACTAGATGAGTATAATACTGAAACTTTGTTGCCCACAAACTCGAACATATATAGAGAGGAATAAATATTTTACAAGGAGCTAATTATATATAGTTACAAGAAAGTATTTACTTATTCTCACCTTCATTCTTTTAAAATAGATTAAAAATTTAAATATAGTCCACATGACATTTCTGATTCGTTTCCTCTCTCTTTGCTCACCAAAAAAATATGAAAAAATTATCGAGACTTCCTAAAAGGTATTAAATTAAAAGTAATGATTCATGCATTAGTTAAACTAAGCAAAAGTAGAAATAATATATATTGAAATGAATGTTACTTTGCATTTTACGTTTTGAATGTTACAAGCAAAATGTTAACATGACGACTACATCAAAACAATACAGAAATCATTTTTACCTTATTAATTAACAAATAAAAATGCCTGGCAAATTTAATAGTATAATTTTGAAGGAAAAATAAAGAAGATAAATAGAAAACACACAGCCCTTTCACATCAACAAAAGCGATGTGATCAAAAAATAGGACATTATTAATTATTTGTTGAAATTCTTTTTTGTTCCCGGAAGAAAAGGAGAGAGAGAGAGAAATATTCCAGTGACAATTATGAAAACTGATGACAAATGCAGTAACATCCTTAACAACCAATTACATATGACATTTTAAACATTAAAGCACGGGTGGGCAAAATAAACTAATATGAAAGAAAAAAGAAAAGAAATTTACTTAGGGAAAGCAAAACATTTCTAAAATGTATGGTTTTATTCAAAATTTTAGTCGTATTTTTGTTACAAACCGTTGAATATTGATGGAAAGTTTAAAATCAATCAATTTTCCGAGAAAATTTTATGAGATTAAAGCTTTTTCTTTCTTGTTTTTCCATTATTTTAATTATTGGAACGTCGGAAAAAAAGTCATTTTACAATGGAATCAAGCAGAAACATAGAAAAGCTAAAAATGTGACAACTGGTGAGAACCAAATAACTATCGCACCACATCTAAAATTATGGAACTAATATTTTTGATACTAACATAGCTTTTTGATCTTTTTTAGCAATTTTATAAGTTTGCCCTGTATTACAAAAACGGACTATCATTAATTACGTTAATTACTTACGTTTGATTGGCAGGGCATTTTTTCTCACAAATTTCTCCATAAAATAAATCCTTGCAACTGCATCTGAAAGCATAAACAATTCACTGCGTTCCGTTTATTATTTGGTCAATAAAAAGTACTGAAAAAAAAAAAGAAACATTTGGAAAATTTCTGAAACCTTATGGATATTTGCCGAATACACTTACATTTGAGAAAGATTAGAAATCGTCAGTAAATTAAAAATTAAAAATATTCTTTTACAGCTAAATTTAGCACACCAGAAATCCCTCTCAAATATTTTTCAAGTGCCGTGGCTAAAAGGATGTGGTACATTCGCATGAGAAGCTAAAATGACACATAAACGAAAGTAATAAAATGTTGGAATGCAAGTAAAATGTATTATTTATTGCATTTTCCTTTCAAATTATACCGAATAGGTAAGGGATTCGGTCCGGAATGCCTTGAATTGAGT